CCACTCGTATAAAATGTTTAGTCGGTCGTTCATTGTCTTCGAGGATTTGGACTCTGGCTCTAATCGCTGCTGCTTCTACTTCCACTTTTTCTATTTCTTTAATTTCATCTTTTATCTGTTTAATTTTATTTGTCCTCATGGGGCGAATTCAGAAGTAATCTTAATTGTTTCTTTAGATATTTTACGTTTGATTTCCTTTCGTGTGATTTTTTCCTAGCAATTTTTATGAGAAATGTTTTTATTTCTGTCTTGAAGTTGTCTCACCACAGAATAATATCTTTTTCTTCTTGCTTTTGTAGGTATTTTTCTATAAATTTGTTGGTATTCTCAATTATTTCTTCGTTTTTTAGCAGTTTATTATTTAGTTTCCAGTATCCTTCGCCCCGTTTGCTATGAGGGATAGTGTTAATTTTCATCGTTATCATTTCATGATCTGAGTAACAACATGGTTCGATGTCTGAGCGTTCTATGACTTCTTCCAGATTGGATCGGACAAGGAACCTGTCAATCCTTGTACTACATTTACTGGTTATATGAGTAAACGTTCTCTCATTTGGGTGTTGTTTTCTCCATATGTCTATAAGTTGGTGGTTACTCATTAATCTTTTTAGCGTTTCTTTTTAGGTAGTGTCACATCCTGACATGGTGTGAAAGAGACACCGACCCTACGGTCACGTGTGATCGCGTTCAGATGTAAAGTTTTAATATCTACATAAAATTTTTCCTAAATTTAAATAAAAGTTACACTCACGAAAAAAAAACGTGAAAAAGTATTTTCTTTACTAATAATTTTATTCAGTAATAGACGAATAACTTCAGAAAATCGAAATACAGTTTGAATCTCGTTTAGGACGTTGGATCGCGTATCAACGAAAAATTTAAGTATCTGCATAGAATTTTTAGGTAAATTTAACTAAAGCATATACTTGCAGATAAAAAACGTCAAAGTGTTATTTTACTGTTAATAATTTTTTTCAGTAACAGACGGATAAGTTTAGAAAATCGAATCAACTTTTAAATTTTGTTTACGACATTTGATCGCGTTTAGACAAAACATTTAAATATCTACATAGAATTTTTTTGTAAATTTAAGTAAAGGTCATACTCACAAATAAAAAAAGTCTTTTCTCTACCGATAAGTTTTTAAGTAATAGACGAATAACTTCAGAAAATGGAAATACCGTTTTAATCTTGTATCCTACGTTTGACCGCGTCCAGACGAAAAATTTAAATATCTGCATAGAATTTTTAGGTAAATTTAAGTAAAGCTTATTCTCACAGATTCTGGCAAATACTAAGTAAGTTTATTCTTAATTTTTAATACTTTTATAGATGGTAATAAAAAAATTTAGCTTTTAATAACATGAACCATAAACAAGGCACGCTTTTTCAATTTTTGAATAATAGTTCAGAGTGAAACAAAACTTGGGTGTCCACCGGAAAAAAAAAAAAAACATTTTATCTGGAAAAGCAATAATAAATATTTAAAGTATAGTTTTATTTTTTGGCCCAAATCTGCGGAAGATGGACAGTACATGTGATGTGTATCATTTAGCATAAAGTTTTAGTAAATGATGCTATTGTGAGAATCCAATACATCGTTGATATCGTCATACTTATTCGATAATTGTTCTTGAATCTACTTCTGGAAAAAAGCTCCAGTTACAATTTCTGGACAGCGAAAATAACGCATTCCAGTAATCTGCTGACCTCCTAGCCGGGCAATATTAAAATTGACGGCCGAAGAGTCAGTCGTCGCCCTTTCCTCTTGGACTAGTCTTCAGAAAATTTTCTGTGCCTGTGCAAAATTTCACTTGATCAGATTTCACCCTCGACCAACGGCACCAGTGAGGACTACTGTCCTCACTGGTGCCGTTGGTCGAGGGTGAAATCTGATCAAGTGAAGACAGGACTCTCACCAGTGAGGACAGTGAGTGAGGACAGTAGTCTCACCAGTGAGGACTACTGTCCTCACTGGCGCCGTTGGTCGAGAGTGGCGTCACGTGGGCAAAATCGACCAGCGTCCCGACGATCTTGACCCAGAACTTTTAAAACGCTTTGAGAACGATAACTGACTCCATAATCTCAACGAAATCTATCATCACTTTGTGGAGCATCTTAATTAATCCAAGTATTTGTCGACTCGCAAACCACTGTAAACTCTCTCTCGAGAACCATGGAAACACAGTATCTAGGAGTACTGTAGTTTGGTTTGATTTATAACTCGTTAATGATATAAATTGTATACAATGTATTTTCCTTTACAAATAAATAGTTGTTCAGTTAACCTGGCATCCGAGGGATTCACTTCCGGTCGCCGTCTCTCAACCCTCCTCCATCCCGAATCCGATCGCCCAAGCACGCTTGCATGACCTACATTCTAATAACGAATCAACACGCCGTCTCGGTTTCCGTGTCAATTGGGACACGGTGATATCAATCCTGACGAGGCACTAGAGGTGCCGACTCTCCGGTAACACTACGAAACCACCAAAAATGTTATATTTGAAGTCTAAACATTCCGAGCTAGAAAATAAACCGTATGATTATTTTGAGCACAAAAACAAGAATTAGTATTACAGGCAAAAACATTTAAACAAAACTTTGTTCAGAATAAGTCATTAATAAAATGCTCATATCTATTTGCACTTAAAACTGTTAAAGCGAAACAATCGTTTACCACTGGGAAATATTTGATAAAACCAGTTTTAATAGACGTTTGGATCCTCGGCTGCTGATAAAAATTAAATCTTCCCCTTATATAATGATAGTACAAGAATTGAAAAATTATCAGAGAATGTAGAACATCAGTTACTACACAAGATAAAGGAATCAAACTTTTTGCGATACAAATTATTGATGAATCATGCAATATTTCTCAAAAGGCCATATTAATTTGCTACGTCAGATATATTAAATAATTTTCGAAAAAATAAAAAAAGAATTCTTGCGTTGTGTAGAATTGAATTCCTACAAACAAGTAATGAGATTTTTAATGAACTTAATTCTTATTTTATTAAACTCTTTACATTGAAAAAACTGCATAGATGTATGCAGGAGCAGATCTAGGTCTTTTGGGTCTAGGGCTTATTGAAGACCAATGGGGCCCCATTTTTTGTTAAATTAATAATCTTTAAACTGGGGTTTAAAATTCATTTTTAATAACATCAAAATCAGAATTGAAATATATTTATTTATGAAATGGTGTTGAACGACGATAAATGTTCATTGTTAATGAAAAAGTATTAAAAATTTAACGATAATAATTCAAATATTAACATATACCTAAACCGGATGTTTAGCAAATAGACTCCCACAATTGCCGTAAATAATCGGGCTATATTTTGGAAATATTAATTATGAATTATTGTGTGCCAAATTTATAATTCATAATTAATATTTCCGAAATATAGCCCGATTATCTACGGCAATCGTGGGTGCTATTTGATGATAATTCAATTTTCGTGGGCTCAGGACTTAGCCCTACTAGTCCATATGTAAATCTGGCCCTGGATGTATGCACCGATAGGGCAGCTAGTATGGTTGGTAGACATTGTGGTGTTACTAAAAGAATTCAGCAAGTAGCTAATCCTGATTTACTGATTACCCACTGTATAATTAACAGACAACATCTAGCAGCGAAAAGTTTATCCACAGAATTAAATGAGGTTTTAGTGGAATCTACTGTATAAAAATTATTAATTTCATAAAAAAATAGCAGTTTAAACTGTAGATTATTTGCAATATTTTGTAGGGAAGTTGGTGCACAATATGAACAATTATTGCTGCATACAGAAGTTAGATGGTTCTTCGGAAGTAAGATTTTAACCAAGCTTTTTGAATTAAGGACTGAAGTAGAAATACTTTTTGTAGCAAAAAGTCCTTTAAGAATTCCCTTGTCTAATGTAGAATGGGTTGCAAAACTAGCATATTTAAGTGATATATTTTCACGCATTAACGATTTAAACTTAAGTTTATGAGGAACTGTAATAAATCAATTTCATTTATTTAATAAAATAGATGGATTTAAGAAAAAAATTGATTTTTGATTGGATAAGGTAAAAAATAATATTGTTATATTTAATAATTATTCTGAGTTTATTTCACAGGAAGATATAAACCTATAAAAATTAAATATAATCATTGAGCAACACATACAATCTTTAAGTAAGTTTCAAAAAATATTTCCCATGTGAACAAACCCCATGTGAAAGGAATTTGTGGATTACAAACCCTTTCATAATATATGACAGTAGTAAATTAGATTTAAGTAACAGAATGAGTCTATCCTTGAGATTAGTTTAGATATTATGTTAAAAACTAGGTTTTCAATAACGTCTATAGATGAATTTTGGATCAAAACGATAAATGAATATCCATCTCTATACAAGAAAGCCATGAAAATGTTAGTTCCCTTCGCAACAACATATTTATGTGAAGCGGGATTTTCAACTATGACGGTAATAAAAAATAAATTTAGAAATCGACTTTCAATTATTTCACCGCTCTGACTCAGCTTGACTAATTCACAACCCACAATTGGAAAGTTAATTAAAGAAGAGCAGCAGCAATCTTCTCATTAACAATGTATACCAAATAAAAAAATTTTAATTTATAATTTTTAGTAATTATAGGATTGATTTTTTGTTGGTACCTATATGCAATAAATTTGTGATTTTTTAAGTAATTTTTTACGATTTTTTGTTGTAATTTTTGTCAAGAGTTTGTTATTTATTAATAATTATAATTAAAAACAACAATAAAAATTATACTTCTAGTAAATACTATTAATTTTTTTAGTAATCATGAGACTGATTTTTTTATTGTGTCCTATATGCAATGTTTGTGATTTTATGATGGCTTTCTGTCATTTTTGTCAAAGATTTATTTATATAAAATAATTATAATAATTACTTATATTTACATTTAAATATTATTTTAAGTAAATGATAATAATAATTTTACAATTTACTTCTATAGCAATTCTTTAATATCTTGTAAAAAGTTCTTTGTTAAAAAACCACCTGGTGTGTGAAATTTTTTTCACAAATTTTACCAGTCCGCAGGCCAAAAAAAGTTGAGAATTGCTCTTTTATACTACTTATAAATTAGCAGTCATATAAAGTGAGCGAGCCCTAACTTATTAACATGAGCAATCATATTCGTTAAAATGAGTGACAAAATAAGAAAACTGTAGACATCTAGGCACCAGTTTTTTTAACATATAATTAACAATAATAATGATCAAATGTAAAGCTGTAATTGATATACATTTCTTAAATGTGCATAAAAATTTTTCTTTGTAGTAAAAACTTCGTCACACATCACAACATAATAAAGCATCCATAATTATATACTGCCGTTGCATAGTAGTAGTTACTTTAGCTGTTACCCAGATGGCGCATTACCGCAGCTATTCCAGACATGATCTGTCAACAGATAATTCTTTTCAACAATAAATAGAACTAACCAATTTATATTTATCATACATTCTGACACAACGATGGAGAATATGAATTTCCATGTCAAAACATTTTTAATTAATAATATATATATACAAGAAAGTTTTTACATTTTTTTCGAGTTCATGCAAAAATCAAATTTACAAGCATCATTTTGTATTTTGTAAAGACTATTTTTTTTGTTTCAAAGACAAGAAAGGACGTTTTCGCAACAATAACAGGTTTAAAAATTACTAGAAGAATACAAATATTTCTCTTATTTTTATGCAAACAATACAAACAAATAGCACATTTGGTTTTTCCTTTTATGTACGAGATAGTTTTGAGAAAATCGGTAACAAGGTAACTTTCATAATGAAACTACACGATATCCTAGGAATAAATTTACTACACACTATAATAAATTATATTTACAGCAGCATAATTATCCATCTTTTCTTATGAAAAATTATTATTATGCTAATTATGTCATCGTCATAATATTTACGACACAGTTTGTAACTATGTACAGTACTTGTACATGACTTTATAGTCGAGAATGGTCCTCGCGACAGAAACTCGATTTTTGATATGTTTATATTTATGTCTGCTCCTGGAAGCCTCGATACTAAATCTATTATGCCTTATAAAAAGTTTGAATGTCGACTGAACGATATCGCTATCGCGAGAGAATCAGTATCTACTGCTCTCATTTGATTACAAAATGCAATTTAGGAGTTTTATGTACAAATCTAAACATGTATAGAACATAATTATACTCTGGTTTCTTGCTAAAACACAATGAAGTAAATACACAAACACCTCGCAACTTACCTGACAATGATTGTACTGTTACGTGGACGATTTGGTGAGACGCAGAGCTATTTACAAATAATTATGTATACATTTATATACAGATAAATAACTTATCTAGAATTGTTCGCTTCTTATCTTTGGGTAAATTCACTCCAATGACTTTTTATGTAAGACAGCATGATCTAAAGCCATTGAAATATTACATTCTGCCATAGACAAAAAATAGAAATTAATTTAGAATCTTGAAATATTCAATTTGCATAGAATTTTCTAAATATTGGACCCGATAAACACTTGCACGGCAGTGTACACTGTGTTTGTCACAAACTGAGGAGTGCAAGAACTTATCACACTTCAATAGGAGAGGTACTGTCTTTGGGTGCTCTTCGAGGACCCCAGACAGTTGGATTTACCATGGGTGGATGTAGACTGTTAGAGAAAGCGCCTGACTTACTCTTTTTCATGATTTTTCCGCTAGTGATGAGCCTGCCGAAACCTTCTTGGTGGGCAAAAGCATATCCAGATCTAATGGATCTTCTGCTGGCTCGACGAACGCTGGCTATGCGCATCTGCGGTTCCGACGGCCTCGATCGCAAGCGGGTGCGTCTCTGTTTCAGTCGCAAGCGATCCGACAGCGTGGGGTGCACGTTGACATAGTAGAAGCGGACAATGACTACCGGCAACAGCAGTATGACCAGTGTCAAAAACGTGGTAAACCAGAACAGCGACGAGCTAAGTGTAAGGCGAAAAGCACCCATGTACGAATTTCCAATGAAATCACTGTTAATGAACAAAGTCATGGCGAAATAAAACGCAACACTCCCCCAAATGACGATATGATTAAATACAGTCCAATAGGCAGTGTCTAGAGCTATCTGTGTTAATAAAACAGTATTGTCAATTTAAAATACAGTAGAATGTTACTAATTTAAATTTTAACAATTACCTGGGCCGTAACTACAAATACGAGGATAGCAGATACAACAGTTCCAAACAGCTGATGATCATCCAGATTGATTCCGTGTGGATCAACAGAATTCTTAAATGCTCCATAAGGAATAAAAAATAAGATAAATGATGTGATTATCCCATGTGCTACACTCTTCAGAAACTCCATCTTATTAAATAATAAGTTTAAATGTCCTGGGGCATATAGTTTTGGATACCTTAGAGAATTTTTGTCATTCACGTCCTATAAAAACATTAAAGAATAAAAAAATAGAAGTTTATAAATATAAAGTAAATACAAAAAACCCACCTGATCAAAGATTCCTAGCGCTAAAACAGGTAACGATGTATAAAACACATTATAGAATGAAATGAATGCAGGATCGTAGACTGTCTGAAGTAAGTACTTTTGTTAAAACCACAGAATTATGTAAGAGAATTAAGCATGTCTTTAATACTAACCTGTGCAGAAAATCCACAAAAGAATGCAAACCAGAAATGACATAAAGTAAAGGCAAAGTTTTTGTAAAAGAAGTAACGAAGAAATTTACTCATTCGGAAATAAGACCATCGACCGTGAACCAAGAGCAAGCGTTCCAGAAAACGAAACTGAGCTAAGGAAAAATCGCTAGCTAACACAGCTTGCATACCTTCCTGTCCACTTATTCCGACTCCAATGTGAGCAGCTGGGGGAAAAGAAATAGAAAACAATTTAACTTTCTTCACTAATAAGCACCAGAGCACTTCAAATGTCATTCGTTACCTTTTATCATACTAACGTCATTTGCACCATCACCGATTGCCAGAGTTACAGCTTTCTTGTGCTTTTTGACCAGTTCCACTACTAATGCTTTTTGTAACGGTGTGACTCTACAGCAAATTACTGCTTTGCAACACGAAGCAACTTCTAAAAATAGAAGCTCCATGGAAGAATCAAGTGCATGGGTCTGAAAACGATTCAGTGCAATATCATATTAAAATAAAACTGTACAGTTTTTATTTACTTTTCTATGAAACAATGTCTTAAATACACATACCAAACTGTGACCATTCACAACGAGGGAAAATCCACCAGTACCATTATCGTTCGGTGAATCAAAATCGTCTTGAAAGGTGACAACACTGCATTCGGGTGCACCCTTAGAGTGACTTAAGACATTAGCAATGTTTTCTCGAAATGTGCGTAATTGTTTCTGAACTTCTTCGTATTCTTCACCATCAACAATAAATATATCAACCATTTCATCAGTCAACAGCTGACAAGAATAGCCAATGTTGATTGCCGTTTCTGAAATAACTAACATTTTAAAAATTCTAGAAAGAACAAGAATGTGATTTTGGAATTTAGAAATTACCCTGTTTATCACCGGTGAGTACCCAGATTTTAATATCTGCCAAAGCCAGATTAGCAATGGCTTGTGGCACTCCATCTTGTAATTTGTCTTCTATGGCTGTGGCGCCAATCAAGTTAAGTCCCATTTCTATTTCTTCATATACTGCATTGATTTTATCTTCTCGATCTTCTAAAGATGTTCTTCGATTTACAATAAATGTTTTAACATTATCCAAGGGCTTAGTTAACTTTTATAATTTCAAAAGTGATACTTACGATGCTTCATGTAATTTTGTCCTCCACATCTCAAAAAGTTCTTCATCTAACTCTTTGTTGGCAAGGCACAATGTTCGTAATCCTTCTCCAGCGAATTTCTGTCAAAATTGTTCAAATGAATTATTTTTAAGTTCTTAATTAAATCATACAATTTTCTATCAATTCTAAAGGTCAGCCGGTTTGCAGCACCCAAAGGCAAGAATTATCTCTATATTAAATTTGTATTAATCAATAAATCTCAAAGTATTTGAGCTAGCTGACGAAGAAAAAAATTTACTTTCATAAAAAGTTACTTCAGACTAAAATAATAGAATTATATTATTTGGAAACTAGTTTGAAGAGAATTACACATATGTGAAAAGGTCACTTACTTATATATCCTGATAGCAGCTGATATGAAATTAATGCAAAAAACTTGATATCAAACTTTCTTGTAATTATCCAAAATAAAACTAATGGAATCATCATCAGTTTACATTATTTACTAAATTCCATTTTGCTGTAGACCAGTTTAAATAGAATATGCACTGTAATAGCTATGTGCATAATTTATTTTGCTTATGGGTAATCCCCCAAAGTTTAAAAATAACAGCTGTCAAAGTTTAGGGAACCGGTCACAGGCAAAGTAAATATTGCTTACTTAATTAAAATTATTAATTTTGTTCTACTTTTCATTGTTGAGATCGACAAGCTTTAATATTTAGATTTTAGTAAAATTTGAATACAGTAATACTCCGAACTTACGCAATAGGTGGGACCAAGCAATAACCGTGTAAGTCAGGGTATAATTTCACAATTTGTGTAAAATCCAAGTCGGATGTATGTAAGCTAATAAATGTTCTCGTTAATCTTATCTCTTCTTTTGATTCGTTCACGGTTACAAGAAATCACCACATAAAGTCTCTGAAGTCTCCGTAGATATAACAAACACAGAAATAAATAACACAAAATAAATTAGTAGTAATTCAAACACAAATAATTATCGTATTTATTTTCAGGCACTTGGCAATTCTTATCATCAAGTTTTTATTCAGTTGATACGTGTTGATATTACACACGTTTCGGGCATTTATTGCCCCTCTTCAGCCAACTAAAAACAAAAGTTCAACATTATAAAATTACAACAACAAACATATTAGGTATTGTTTTTCTAAAAACATACCTTTTTAATTTACAGGTTATCAATATATTAAAAACCACAGGTTTCATCGCTTATGTTTACTGGTTGTTATGGAATTACAAAAATTTCTTGGCGCTTAACACACTTTAATCTAAGAAAACATACGGTTTATGTTATCTAAAATATTTTAAAACCTTATTTTTTATGTGGATTTACATGACAAATTTACAATGAAGTACGTACCTAATTATCTGTTTTTCGTTGTTATAAAATCTAAACACTTTAAAATTTTTCTTATACATTTACAACAATATTAAAATTGACATATTTGTCTTTCAAAATCATGCAATTTCCTCTTTTTGCAAACTATTGGGATGACCTCTCCTCCCCCTCTTGTTTCCCCCAGTTAAGCGTACCACTGGTTACTATAGTCATATGACTAGCAGGCCACCTTGTGGCAGTATTACTTTTTACATGAAATATCTTTTTTCTTAAAATGTCTTTTTTATACAAATTATTTCTTTTCAAGAAAATACTTCATTCTAAAAATCCTGTTTACATAAAATATTTCAAGAAATTACCTTCTACATAAATTATCGTTTCTGCAGATTATAAGATATTTAGCCAGTTTTCATTAATTTTAATACTTAGATTTTTATTTATGCATTTTTNATTTTAAAGTGTTTAGATTTTATAACAACGAAAAACAGATAATTTGGTACGTACTTCATTGTAAATTTGTCATGTAAATCCACATAAAAAATAAGGTTTTAAAATATTTTAGATAACATAAACCGTATGTTTTCTTAGATTAAAGTGTGTTAAGCGCCAAGAAATTTTTGTAATTCCATAACAACCAGTAAACATAAGCGATGAAACCTGTGGTTTTTAATATATTGATAACCTGTAAATTAAAAAGGTATGTTTTTAGAAAAACAATACCTAATATGTTTGTTGTTGTAATTTTATAATGTTGAACTTTTGTTTTTAGTTGGCTGAAGAGGGGCAATAAATGCCCGAAACGTGTGTAATATCAACATGTATCAACTGAATAAAAACTTGATGATAAGAATTGCCAAGTGCCTGAAAATAAATACGATAATTATTTGTGTTTGAATTACTACTAATAACTACAAGCACGGTTTCAAAAGTACCACAAAATAAATTGTAGCTATGCGTCAATTCTGCGTGACACGTCCGAACATGTAAGCCAAACAATAATATAGGGGGAGTGAGTAATCGAAAGTTGCGTGGCACTCAAACAAAGGATGAATTGACGAGATTTGAAAATCACGTAACTCCGGGTTTGCGTAAGTCGGGGTAGCATAAGTCGAGGTATTACTGTATTTTTTAATGTGGGGAATCACTTGAACTGATTGTAAGTCCTATGTAACATCTTCAACTTACTTACACCATCCATTTGCTTATGCTTATCTTGTGCATATTATTCCTGTTTTATTTTTCACAGATGCACAAACTCCATTTCTAGTTTTCTGTTTGTAAGACTCTGACATGTTTCCATAAAGTTAGTATTCTAATGTCTATCAAAACATGGACAGCCACTCATCCAGTTCTAAAATAGTCAGGAAGTAAATCTATAGTTTGCATAACTGTTTATGTATAGTCACAATGTGAGCCTGGTCAAATCCAGGATGAGGCTCATGACATTCCTCAGTGGCCACAGATTGGAGAGTTTAAAAAACCCTAGAAAATCTAATGTATATGACAAATAACAGGTTTTTTAATTAGGTTCCATATCCAGCCTTTGAACATTTTTAATAATAAAGTCATGTTTGCAGAACATGTTGACAAAACAGTAAAATCTCTCACCAAACACGTGGAATTGTCTGGACCTTTTTCTTCGAAATAGATATTAAGTTCTGTAAAGCCGATCGCAAATTAACGTGCATTAATTTTAAGGATGAAATGAATCTCTCAACAGCTTGGCAATATTTATTAGGCGATAAATCATAAATTGATAAATGATAAAGGTAATTACTATAAGGTGCACATCACATATCCCCATTGGTCAAAAACGAAAATTAATTTGAAGCTGCATGTGGATTCCTTCCATATTCGAGCTTTAGGAAGCAGAGCATGCTCCTAGTTAAAAACATTCAAATTAAAGAATCCAGTTCCAATGGAAAAAACAAATTTAGCCTGAGGAAGAGCACAGGAGGGGCATCAAAAACGTTTACCAGTTTTGGATATTTCACGCCGGTTATTGGTTATAGAGTGTGTGTTTTGTTTTATACAACCCCAGTGTGGTGAGAAGCTTTAGTTAGTTACAGCTATGCCAGCTAATGAATACCGCAAAGCAATTAAGTTCTATTTTTTTTTAATAAACTTCCAATCTCTTGCCAATTACATTTTACCAATCTGAGCTGTGTAAACTGTATTCCCTTCTAGAAAAATTCTCCAAATTTATCTGATTTTAAATAAACCCTGCATTTGCCTATTACTTTTGTCTGAATGTTGCCAGATCCAGACTGAGATTATCTTCCTTTATACAATGTATCAAATATTTCAACCAGCCTTTATACTTTAAATATTTAGGTGGTTATAACAGTCTGAATGACTTCAACTAAAACACCTGGAGTAATCTGTATAACCCTGAATGTATTTTTACACCTGATTTTTGATTGTCCTTTTCCAAAGATCTTTTTTTTTGTCATATTTTACAAAATAATCTCAAAAACCTACTTCATGAAAATTTTACTCATCAAGATAAACAACTTCCAACAACCTAACACTGCATTGAAAGTACTTGTGGAGTTTACTACGGATATAACACTTGTAAAAAAGGTTTTTGTGGATTGTTATTTTACTCATCTTAAAAACACTTGAAAATGTACTCTTTATATCTTAAATTTTATTTTCATTTTTGTAATTGTTTTAATGTGTTCTAATGTCTTTTCTGCTACACCTTTTTTGCCCATTTTATTTGTTATTTATTTTTGTTCCTATGGGTTTTATTGTTATGCAAGTGTTTTGTTTCAATCAGATTTTCCTAATGTAACTAAAATAAACAAATAAGTGAAAACTGATCAACTTCAGAAGTATGTGTTGGCATGAAACAAAGAAAACCTCTCAGACACAATGTAGACGAAATGTGCATTGTCTCAGACCATTGAAACAAAAGGAAAAAGCTGATCTCACAACACTTGATGATGATGGCAAAGCAGACATGAAATGATACTGGCAAATAAGATTAAGAAAAACCTACTTTAAAATGATTTAAATACGTGGGTCGTTCAATAAGTCCTTAGAAAATCCAATAGATGGCGCTCGTAGCCTAAAAAATGGCGCGTTTTTTGTAAGCATGATGTCTCACTAGACAGTTGTGAAAATCTCAGTCATATCCATCATATGGTTTAATTTTTATTGTCAATTGAAGCAAGAAACTTTTGTTTATTTAGAAAAATGGAAAAAAGTGAGTTTCGAGCGGTGATTAAACACTTATATTTAAAAGGCTTAATACCAAAAGAGATCAAAGCTGAGTTGAATGAAGTTCATGGCACATCTGCTCCTGTGTTTGCAACTGTTTACAATTGGGTAAATGAGTTCAAACGTGGTCGTACATCCACAAAAGATGAACATTGTTTGGGACGTCTAGTGGAAGTGACTACTCCCGAAATGATTGACAAAATCCACGATATGGTTTTGAGTGATCGACGAATCAAAGTGCGTGAAATAGTTGAGGCCACAGGCATATCACAAGGTACAGTGTTTTCAATTTTGCACGAAAAATTGGGTGTGAAAAAAATCTCGGGAAGATGGGTGCCGCGTTTGCTCTCAGTGGAGAATAAACGTAATCATGTGGTCGACTCTGAGGCAATTTTGGCACTTTTTCGTCGCAATCCTGACGAGTTTCTGCGTCGATACATAACTGTGGACGAAACATGGATACACTACTCCAGAGACCAAAGAACAGTCAAAACAGTGGGTTTTTGAAGGCGAAAGGGCTCCAAAGAAGGCGAAGACAGTGAAATCGGCCGGGAAGGTGATGGCCACGGTTTTTTGGGATACACGCGGAATCATCTTCACCGATTACTTGGAAAAAGGAAAAACAATAACTGGAGAGTATTACGCATCATTATTGCACCGGTTGAGCGAAGAAATCAAGGAAAAACGTCCTCATTTGAAAAAGAAAAAGATCCTCTTCCATCAAGACAATGCACGGGTGCATACCTGTGCAGTTTCGATGGCCAAAATCACGGAATTAAAGTTTGAATTATTACCACATCCACCGTATTCACCAGATTTGGCCCCCAGTGACTTTTTTTTATTTCCAAATTTAAATAAATGGCTTGGTGGACAACGATTCACGTCAAACGAGATGGTCATTGCCCAAACAAATGCCTATTTTGAGGACCTTCCGAAATCTTACTTTTTAGATGGCTTAAAGTTGGAGAAACGCTTGGAAAAGTGTATAGAGCTTAAAGGAGATTATGTTGAAAAATAAAAAAAAATCTACCTAAAATAATTTGTTTTTCTATCTTTTTCTAAGGACTTATTGAACGACCCTCGTAGCTGTGGAACTAGATCAGGCACTCTTCAGAAGGCAGTACGCTGAGAGCCATTTCGAGCAGAAAAAAGTCAATGACTTTTAAATGAGTCTGTATCGTGGTAATTTTCCATTTCACTCCCACTGTTTTTAACAATTTTTGGCACATGAAACTATTAATTCTCTCTTCTTATTTTAAGCATATTTTCAAAATGGGCAAATTCTTCCAAATACAAATTTTTGGCAAATAATTTTTTTAACATTTCTACTATAGCATGTACAAGCAACTCAATGTTCACAGTCAAACACCATAACAGATAACTAAAACCATGAGTAAATTGAAATCCTGCTTTGCTAGAAGTAACATTAATCTGCAATTGTGTGTGATAGCAGCGACTTTCTAAAACTACTATTTTTCTGTGGGTATCTTTTGCCAAATTGACTTATTTAGCTGTGCTTCCGTAATATCCTCATGCTAAAATGATATTCACGTAAAAATTCTGGTCGAAAAACACTTTTCCATTTATCACAGACCCTCAAAACGCAAATGCAGAATCACTGCCTTATGTATACAATCACAAATGAGTTTTTTTTTATTGTCACACAATCACTTGTTACACAGTGATATTCCACATTAATGTCAATTTTTGTGTATTTTTGATGATACCACAAGCCATGGATGTTTGTCAGCTATGAATGACATAATTATATGACTGTCTGCAAGTGGCTACAACCTTAAATACTTGACCTTCAATAATTAAAATTTTTTCTTTTAAAAGATCAATTTTTCAAAGAAAATATTTCCTCAAAAAGTTGATGAAACTTTATGGGTTAATTCCACAGAAATAACTGCCGTGTTTTTGCCTGGACCGCATTTAATCAGAGACAAAGACATATCTTCGTATTCTTTATTTACTTATTTACTATGCATTTAGGGTACAATATTTTTGTGTAACTTGCACCTCTCTTCAGGTTTTACATTTCTATAAATTGGTAAATTCGATTATTACATTTCTTTCCAAAGAAAACAAAAAGAGGGGAAAACGGTCTATAAATGC